AGAGAGGAAGAGAGAGGGGGGGGGAGGAGGAGGAACCAGTAGACGAGAGAGAGGAAGAGAGAGGGGGGGAGGAGGAGGAGGAACCAGTAGACGAGAGAGAGGAAGAGAGAGGGGGGGGAGAGGAGGAGGAACCAGTAGACGAGAGAGAGGAAGAGGAGAGAGGGGGGGGGGAGGAGGAGGAAACCAGTAGACGAGAGAGAGGAAGAGAGAGGGGGGGGGGGAGGAGGAGGAACCAGTAGACGAGAGAGAGGAAGAGAGAGGGGGGGGGGAGGAGGAGGAGGAACCAGTAGACGAGAGAGACGAGAGAGAGAGAGAGGGGGGGGGGGAGGAGGAGGAACCAGTAGACGAGAGAGAGGAAGAGAGGGGGGGGAGGAGGAGGAGGAACCAGTAGACGAGAGAGAGGAAGAGAGAGGGGGGGGAGGAGGAGGAGGAACCAGTAGACGAGAGAGAGGAAGAGAGAGGGGGGGGAGGAGGAGGAGGAACCAGTAGACGAGAGAGAGGAAGAGAGGGGGGGGGGAGGAGGAGGAGGAACCAGTAGACGAGAGAGAGGAAGAGAGAGGGGGGGGGAGGAGGAGGAGGAACCAGTAGACGAGAGAGAGGAAGAGAGAGGGGGGGAGGAGGAGGAGGAGGAACCAGTAGACGAGAGAGAGGAAGAGAGAGGGGGGGGGGGGAGGAGGAGGAGGAACCAGTAGACGAGAGAGAGGAAGAGAGAGGGGGGGGGAGGAGGAGGAGGAACCAGTAGACGAGAGAGAGGAAGAGAGAGGGGGGGGGAGGAGGAGGAGGAACCAGTAGACGAGAGAGAGGAAGAGAGGGGGGGGAGGAGGAGGAGGAACCAGTAGACGAGAGAGAGGAAGAGAGAGGGGGGGGAGGAGGAGGAGGAACCAGTAGACGAGAGAGAGGAAGAGAGAGGGGGGGGGGAGGAGGAGGAGGAACCAGTAGACGAGAGAGAGGAAGAGAGAGAGGGGGGGGGAGGAGGAGGAGGAACCAGTAGACGAGAGAGAGGAAGAGAGGGGGGGGGGAGGGGGGGGGAGGAGGAGGAACCAGTAGACGAGAGAGAGGAAGAGAGAGGGGGGGGGGGAGGAGGAGGAGGAACCAGTAGACGAGAGAGAGAGGAAGAGAGGGGGGGGGGAGAGGAGGAGGAGGAACCAGTAGACGAGAGAGAGGAAGAGAGAGGGGGGGGGGGAGGAGGAGGAGGAACCAGTAGACGAGAGAGAGAGGAAGAGAGAGGGGGGGAGGAGGGAGGAACCAGTAGACGAGAGGAGAACCAGAAGAGAGAGAGGAGGAGGAGGAACCAGTAGACGAGAGAGAGGAAGAGGGGGGAGGAGGAGGAGGAACCAGTAGACGAGAGAGAGGAGAGGAGAGGGGGGGGGAGGAGGAGGAGGGGGGGGGGAAGGAGGAGACGAGAGAGAGGAAGAGAGAGGGGGGGGAGGAGGAGGAGGAACCAGTAGACGAGAGAGAGAGAAGAAGAGAGGGGGGGGGAGGAGGAGGAGGAACCAGTAGACGAGAGAGAGGAAGAGAGAGGGGGGGGGAGGAGGAGGAGGAACCAGTAGACGAGAGAGAGGAAGAGAGATAGGCGGGGGGGGGGGAGGAGGAGGAGGAACCAGTAGACGAGAGAGAGGAAGAGAGAGGGGGGGGAGGAGGAGGAGGAACCAGTAGACGAGAGAGAGGAAAGAGAGGGGGGGGGGAGGAGGAGGAGGAACCAGTAGACGAGAGAGAGGAAGAGAGAGGGGGGGGGAGGAGGAGGAGGAACCAGTAGACGAGAGAGAGGAAGAGAGTCCTGGCCGGTGTCCTTTCCGGTGTTCTGGCCGGTGTCCTGGCCGGTGTCCTTTCCGGTGTTCTGGCCGGTGTCCTGGCCGGTGTCCTTTCCGGGTTCTGGCCGGTGTCCTGGCGGTGTCCTTTCCGGTGTTCTGGCCGGTGTCCTTTCCGGTGTCCTGGCCGGTGTCCTGGCTGGTGTCCTTTCCGGTGTTCTAGCCGGTGTCCTGGCCGGTGTCCTTTCCGGTGTTCTGGCCGGTGTCCTGGCCGGTGTCCTTTCCGGTGTTCTGGCCGGTGTCCTGGCCGGTGTCCTTTCCGGTGTTCTGGCCGGTGTCCTGGCCGGTGTCCTTTCCGGTGTTCTAGCCGGTGTCCTGGCCGGTGTCCTTTCGGTGTTCTAGCCGGTGTCCTGGCCGGTGTCCTTTCCGGTGTTCTAGCCGGTGTCCTGGCCGGTGTCCTTTCCGGGGTTCTGGCCGGTGTCCTTTCCGGTGTCTAGCCGGTGTCCTGGCCGGTGTCCTTTCCGGTGTCCTGGCCGGTGTCCTTTCCGGTGTTCTGGCCGGTGTCCTGGCCGTGTCCTGGCCGGTGTCTGGCCGGTGTTCTAGCCGGTGTCCTGGCCGGTGTCCTTTCCGGTGTTCTAGCCGGTGTCCTGGCCGGTGTCTTCCGGTGTTCTAGCCGGTGTCCTGGCCGGTGTCCTTTCCGTGTTCTGGCCGGTGTCCTGGCCGGTGTCCTTTCCGGTGTTATAGCCGGTGTCCTGGCTGGTGTCCTTTCCGGTGTCCTGGCCGGTGTTCTAGCCGGTGTTCTGTCCGGTGCCCTGGCCGGTGTCCTGGCGGTGTTCTGGCTGGTGGTCTGGCCGGTGTTTTGGCCGGTGTTCTGGCTGGTGTTCAGGCCGGTGTTCTGTCGGGTGTCCTGGCCGGTGTCCTGGCCGGTGTTCTGGCCGGTGTTCTGGCTGGTGGTCTGGCCGGTGTTCTGTCCGGTGTCCTGGCCGGTGTCCTGGCCAGTGTTCTGGCCGGTGTCCTGGCGGTGTCCTGGCCGGTGTTCTGGCTGGTGTCCTGGCCGGTGTTCTGGCCGGTGTCCTGGCCGGTGTTCTGGCCGGTGTTCTGGCCGGTGTCCTGGCCGGTGTTCTGGCTGGTGTTCTGGCGGGTGTTCTGGCCGGTGTTCTGGCCGGTGTCCTGGCCGGTGTCCTGGCCGGTGTCCTAGCCGGTGTCCTGGCCGGTGTTCTGGCCGGTGTCCTGGCCGGTATCCTGGCCGGTGTTCTGGCCGGTGTTCTAGCCGGTGTCCTGGCCGGTGTTCTGGCTGGTGTCCTGGCCAGTGTCCTGGATGGTGTTCTAGCCGGTGTCCTGGCCGGTGTTCTGGCCGGTGTCCTGGCGGGTGTTCTGGCCGGTGTTCTGGCCGGTGTTCTGGCCGGTGTACTGGCCGGTGTTCTGTCCGGTGTCCTGGCCGGTGTTCTGGTCGGTGTCCTGGTCGGTGTCCTGGCCAGTGTCCTGGCCGGTGTCCTGGCCGGTGTCCTGGCCGGTGTTCTGGCCGGTGTTCTGGCAGGTGTTCTGGCCGGTGTCCTGGCCGGTGTTCTGGCCGGTGTCCTGGCCGGTGTTCGGGCCAGTGTTCTGCCCGGTGTTCTGACTAGTGTTCTGACCGGTGTTCTGGCCAGTGTTCTGGCCGGTGTTCGGGCCAGTGTTCTGGCCGGTGTTCCGGCAGGTGTTCTGGCCGGTGTTCGGCAGGTGTTCTGGCCGGTGTTCTGGCCGGTGTTCTGGCCAGTGTTCTGGCTAGTGTTCTGACCGGTGTTCTGGCCAGTGTTCTTGCGGTGTTCGGGCCAGTGTTCTGGCCGGTGATCGGGCAAGTGTTCTGGCCAGTGTTCTGGCTAGTGGTCTGGCCGGTGTTCTGGCCGGTGTCTTGGCTAGTGTTCTGGCCGGTGGTCTATCCAGTGTTCTGGCTAGTGGTCTCTGCCGGTGTTCTGGCGGTGTCCTGGCCGTGTTCTGGCGGTGTTCTGGCTAGTGTACTGGCCTGTGTCCTGGCCGGTGTTCTGGCCGGTGTTCTGGCCGGTGTCTGGCCGGTGTTCTGGCGGTGTTCTGGCTGGTGTTCTTGCGGTGTTCTGGCCGGTGTTCTGGCTAGTGGTCTGGCCGGGTGTTCTGGCTAGTGGCCTGGCCGGGTTTGGCTAGTGGTCTGGCCGGTGTTCTGGCTAGTGGTTGGCCGGTGTTCTGGCTAGTGTACTGGCTGGGTGTTCTAGCCGGTGTTCTGGCGGTTGTTCTGGCGATGTTCTGGCCGGTGTTCTGGCTAGTGGTCTGGCCGGTGTTCTGGCTAGTGGTCTGGCCGGTGTTCTGGCTAGTGTACTGGCCGGTGTTTCTAGCCGGTGTTCTGGCCAGTGTTCTGGCCGATGTTCTGGCCGGTGTTCTAGCCGGTGTTCTGGCCGGTGTTCTAGCCGGTGATCTGGCCGGTGTTCTGGCCGATGTTCTGGCCGGTGTTCTGGCTAGTGGTCTGGCCGGTGTTCTAGCTAGTGGTCTGGCCGGGTGTTCTGGCTAGTGTTCTAGCCGGTGTTCTGGCCGGTGTTCTAGCCGGTGTTCTGGCCAGTGTTCTGGCCGATGTTCTGGCCGGTGTTCTGGCCGGTGTTCCGGCTAGTGTTTTGGCCGGTGTTCTGGCCGGTGTTCTGGCCGGTGTTCTGGCCAGTATTCTGGCCAGTGTTCTGGCCGATGTTCTGGCCGGTGTTCTGGCGGTGTTCTGGCTAGTGGTCTCGCCGGTGTTCTGGCCAGTGTTCTGCCGGTGTTCTGGCAGGTGTTCTGGCCGGTGTTCTGGCCGGTATTCTGGCCGGTGTCCTGGCCGGTGTTCTGGCCAGTGTTCTGACCGGTGTTGTGACCGGTGTTCTGACCGGTGTTCTGGCCAGTGTTCTGACTGGTGTTCTGGCCAGTGTTCTGACCGGTGTTCTGGCCAGTGTTCTGACCGGTGTTCTGGCCAGTGTTCTGACCGGTGTTCTGGCCAGTGTTCTGACCGGTGTTCTGGCCAGTGTTCTGACGGTGTTCTGGCCAGTGTTCTGACCGGGTTCTGGCCAGTGTTCTGACCGGTGTTCTGGCCAGTGTTTCGGTGTCTGACAGTGTGTTCTGGCCAGTGTTCTGACCGGTGTTCTGGCCAGTGTTCTGACCGGTGTTCTGGCCAGTGTTCTGACCGGTGTTGGCCTGTTCTGACCCGGTGTCGAGTGACTGTGTACATCCGGCAGAGTGGGTGGTGCTCCAGCCCAGCCGCTTGTTGGTGCCATCAGTCAGTGGTCAGTTGGTGTAATTCATAGCCGGCTTCTCTGTAAGTCTCAGGATACTTGTGTTGTGGGGTGTGTGTTGTGGGGTGTGGTGTTTGGGGGTGTGTGTTGGGGGTGTGTGTTGTCGGTGTGTGTTGTGGGGTGTGTTGTGGGGTGTGTGTTGTGGGGTGTGTGTTGTGGGGTGTGTGTTTGTGGGGTGTGTGTTGTGGGGTGTGTGTTGTGGTGTGTGTGTTGTGGTGTGTGTGTTGTGGTCGGTGTGTGTTGTGGGTGTGTGTTGTGGGGCTTGTGTGTGTGGTGTGTGGTGTTGTGTGGTGTGTGGGTGTGTGTGTGTGTGGGTGTGTGTGTGTGTGGTGTGGTGGGTGTGTGTGTGTGTTGTGGTGTGTGTGTGTGTGTGTGTGGTGTGTGTGTGTGTGTGTGCGTGTGTTGCGTGTGTGTGTGTGTGGTGGGTGGTGTGTGTGGTGGTTGTGTGTGTGGGGTGTGTGTGTGGGTGTGTGTGGGTGTGTGTGTGGGGGTGTGTTGTGGGTGTGTGTGTGTGTGTGTGTGGGTGTGTGGTGTGTGTGTGGGGTGTGGGTGTGTGTTTGTGTGTGGGGTGTGTGTATGTGTGTGTGGGTGTGTATGTGATGTGTGTATGGTATGTGTGTGCGTGTGTATGTGTGTGTGGATTTGTGTGGTGTATGTGCGTGTGTATGGTGTGTGTATGTGTCTGTGGTGTATGTGTGTGTGTGTCTGTGTGTGTGGTGTGTGTGTGTGTGTGTGTGTGTGGGTGTGTGTGGGTGTGTGTGTGTGGTGTGTGTGTGTGGGGTGTGTGTGGGGTGTGTGTGTGGGGTGGGGTGTTGTGTGTGTGGGTGTGTGTGTGGGGGGTGGGTGGGTATGTATGGGTATGTGTGGGGGTGTGTATGGTGTGTGGGTGTGTGTATGGCGTGGGGTTGTGTGTGGGTATGTGTGTGTGTGTGTGTGTGTATGTGTGTGGGTGTGTGTGTGTGTGTGTGTGTGTGTGTGTGTGTGTGGTGTGGGTGGTGTGGGGTGTCTGTATGTGGTGTGTGTGTGTGTGTGTGTGTGGGGGTGTGTTGTGTGTATGTGTGTGTGTATGTGTGTGTTTGTGGTGTGTGTATGTGTGTGTGTGTGTGGGTGTGTGTGTGGGTGTGTGTGTGGTGGGGGTGTGTGGTGTGTGTGTGGGGGTGTGTGTGGGTGTGTGTGGTGTGGGTGTGTGTTGTGTGTGTGGGTGGGTGTGGGGTTGTGTTGTGGGTGGTGGGGTTGTGGGTGTTGTGTGTGTGTGTTGTGTGTGGTGGTGGGTGTTGTGGTGTGGTGTTGTGTGGGTGTGTTGCCTGTGTGTTGTGGTGTGTGTGTGTGTGTGGGCCTGTGTGTGTGTTGTGGGTGTGGTGTGCCTGTGTGTGTGGTGTGTGTGTGCCTGGTGTGGTGGTGTGTTGTGTGGTGGGTGTGTGTGTGTGTGTGTGTGTGGGTTGTGGTGTGTGTGTGCCTGTGTGTGTGTGTGCCTGTGTGTGTGTGTGCCTGTGGGTGTGTGGTGTGGTTGTGTGTGGCCTGTGGGTGTGTGTTGTGTGGTTTGTGTGTGGTGTGTGTGTGTGGTGGTGTGTGTTGTGGTGTGGTGTTGTGTGGTGTGTGGTGTGTGTGTGTTTGTGGGTGTGTGTGTGTGGGTTGTGTGGGTTGTGGGTGTGTGTGTGGGTTGTGGTGTGGTGTTGTGTTGTGTTGTGGGTGTGGTGGTGTGGTGTTGTGTGGTGTTGGGTGGTGTTTTTGTGTGTTTGTTGTGGTGGTGGTGTGTGTGTGGTGTTGTTGGGTTGTGTGTGTGTGAGGGTGTGGGGTGTTGCGTGTGTGGTGGGTGTGTGGTGTTGGGTTGTGGGTGTGTTGTGTGGGTTGTGTGGGTTGTGGTGTGTGTTGTGGTGTGTTGTGGTGGTTGTGGTTGGTTGTGTGGTTGTGGTGGGTTGTTGTGTGGTTGTGGTGTGTGTTGTGGTGTGGTGTGTGTTGTGGTGTGGTTTGTGTGGTGTGTTGTGTGGTGTTGGGGTGTGTTGTGTGGGTGGTTGTGGGTTGTGTTGTGGTGTTGTGGGTGTGTGCGGGGGTGGTGGGTGTGGTTTGTGGTTTGTTTGTGGTGATGGTTTGTGGTGTTGTATGGGTTGTGGGGTGTGTTGCGTGGTTTGTTGGGTGTGTTGTGGGTGTGTTGTGTGGGTTGTGGGTGTTGTTGGTGGGTTGTGGGTGTGTTGTGTGGGTTGTGGTGTGTTGGCGTGGGTTGTGGTGTTTGTGGTGTGTTGTGGGGTGTTGTGGGTGTGCTGGGGGTTTGGGGTTGTGGGGGTGCTGTTGTGTGAGGTTGTGATGTGGGTTGTGTGGTTGTGTGGTTGTGTGGTGGGTGGTGTTGGTGTGGGTTGTGGATGTGTTTGTTTGTGGTTTGTGTGGGGGGTGTTGGTGTTGTGTTGTTGAGAAGTTGTGTTGTTGTGGGAGTAGTTGTGTTGTGAGGGTTGCGGGTGTGTTGTGGAGTGTGTTGTGTTGTTGGTGGGTTGTGGTTGAGTGCTGGTGTTGTTGTGTGTTGTGGGTGTGTTTGTGTTGTGTTTTTGCTGGTGTTGTGTGGGTTTGTGTGTGGTGTTGTGCGGGGTTGTGTGGGTTGATGGGTGTGTTTGTGGTGTGTTGCTGGGTGTTTGTGTTGGTTGTGGGGGTGTTGTTGGGTTGTGGGGTGAGTTGCGTGGGTTGGGTGGTGTTGGGTGGGAGTGTGGGTGTTGTGTGTGTTGTGGGGAGTGATGGGTGTAGGGTTGTGTTGGTCTGTGGGTGTGGTTGTGTGGGAGTGATGGTGTGTTGTGTGTGGGGTGGAGTGCTGTTGTGTGTGGTTGTGGGAGTGCTGGTTTTTTGTGAGGGGGAGGGTGTTGTGGTGGGTTGTGGGTGTGTGATGAAGTGGGTGTGTTGTGGTTGTGGTGTGTTTGTGAGTTGTGCTGTGTGTTGGGTGGTTTGCTGGGTGTGGTTGTGTGGGGTTATGTGGGTTGTGGGTGTGTTGTGGGCTGGTGTTGTGTGGGTTTTGGTGGGTGTTGGTTTGGTTGGGGTGTGTTTGTGGGGGTTGCTGGTGTTGTGGTTGTGCTGGGTTTGTGGGGGTGCTTGTGTTGGGAGGGTGGGGGTGTTGTGGGGGTGTGCTGGGTTGTGGGGTTGCTGGTGGGTTGTGGGTGCTTTGTGTGGGTTGTGGTGATGGTGTTGTGGGAGTGCTGGTGTGTGTGGGGGTGCTTGTGTTGTGGTGGTTTGCTGTTGTTGTGTGGGGTGGGTGTGTTGTGTGGGTGTGGTTTTGTGGGAGTGCTGTTGTTGTGGGTGTGGGTGGTGTTGTGGGAGTACTGTTGTTGTGGGGTTGCTGGTGTTGTGGGAGTAATGGTGTGTGGGGGTGATGTTGTTGTGGGGTTTGCTGGTGTTGTGGGAGTGCTTGTGTGTGATGTGTTGTGGGGTGTTGTGTGTTTTGGTGTTTGGGGTGTGTTGTGATGGGTTTGTGGGTGCTGGTGTTGTGGGTTGTGCTTGTGTTTTGGGTGTTGTGTGTGTGTGTTGTGTTTGATGTGTTGTGTGGGTTGATGTGGGTTGTGGGTGCTGTTGTTGTGGGGTTGCTGGTTGTTGTGGGGGGATGGTGTTGTGGGTGAGTTGCGTGGGGTGCGGGTGTGTTGTGGTGGTGTGTGTGTTGTGGGGGGTGCTGGTGTTGTGGGGTTGCTGTGGGTTGTGGTGGTGCTGTTTGTGGTTGGTGGGGGTGTTTGTGTTGTGGTTGTGGTGGTGTTGTGTGGGTTGCTGGTGTTGTTGTGGTGCTGGTGTTGGGGGGGTGTTGTGTGTGTGTGTGGGTTGTGGGTGTGTGGGGTGCTGGTGTTGGGTTTGTTGCGTGGTGTTGTGGGGGTGATGTTGTGGGTTGGGGGTGCTGGGTGGTGTGTGTTGCTGGTGTTGTGGGTGTGGTGGTGGTGTGTTGTGTGGGTGGTGTGTGGGGGGTGCTGGTGTTGTGGTGGGCTGTGTGTTGTGGGGTTGCTGGGGGTTGTGGTGTGTGTTGTGGTGTTGTGGGGGTGCTGGTGTTGTGGTGGTGCTGTTGTTGTGGGGGTGCTGGTGTGTTTTGTTGTGCTGGTGTTGTGGGGGTGCTGGTGTTGTGGGGGTGCTGGTGTTGTGGTGTGCTGGTTGTTGGGGTGGTTTTGGTGGGTGTGGGTGTGTTGGTGTTGGTGGGGTTGCTGGTGTTGTGGGGTGTGGTGTTGTGGGTGTGTTGTCTGTTGTGGGTGTCTGGGTGTTTGTGTGGGTGCTGTGTTGTGGAGGGTGTGTTGTGTGGGTGTGTTGTGGGGGTTGTGGGTGTGGCGTGTGTTGTGGGGGTGCTTGTGTTGTGATGTGTTGTGTGTGGTGCTGGGTTGTGGTGTGTTGTTGTGGGGTGGTGGGTGTTGTGTGTGTGTTGTGGGGTGATGGGTGTGGGTGTGGTTGGGGTGGTGTGTGTGGGGTGTTGCTGGTATTTTTGTTTTTATCCCGTGGTCTTGTGGTTGTGATTTTCTGTGTGTGCCGTTTCTGGTGTGGATGGGGGTAACTGGTGTTCTGGGTGTGCTGGTGTTTTGTTTTTGCTGGTTCCCCCGTGTGTTTTTGGGGGTCCCCTGGTGTGGGGATGTTGGTCTTGTGGTGTGTTGTTTGGATGCTGGTGTTGTGGGTGTGCTGGTGTTGTGGGTGTGATGGTGTTGTGTTGGTGCTGGTGTGTTTGTTGGGGTGCTTTTTTTGTGTGTGTGTGTTGTGGTGTGTGTGGGGGGCTGTTCTTGTGGGGCTGGTGTTGTGGGTGTGTTGTCTACCGTGTGTTGTGGGGTGTGTGTGTGGTGTGTGTGTTGTGGAGGTGTGTGTTGTGGGTGTGTGTGTGGGGGGTGCTGGTGTGTTGTGGGGGGTGTGTTGTGGGAGGTGTGTTGTGTGGTGTGTGTTGTGTGTGTGTGTTGTGGGGTGTGTGTTGTGTGGTGTGTGTTGTGGGTGGTGTGTGTTGTGGTGGGGTGTGTTGTGGAGGGTGGTGTTGTGGTGGTGTTGTGTTGTGTGGGTGTGTGTTGTGGTGGTGTGTGTTGTGTGGTGTGTGTTGTGTGGTGTGTGTTGTGGTGTGTGTTGTGCTGGTTCGTGTGTCTGTGGTGTGTGTGTTGTGTGTTTGTGTGTGTTGTGGGGTGTGTG